GGAATTGAGGCTTTGCCGGTCAGGCTGCTCCATCTAGACGGCCAAGTAACAAGTCCAGTAGCGTCTCCAATCGAGCCGCCTTTCTTCCCTCGCAAGAGGAAATCCATTCTGTGGAGACGTATGGAAGGCACAACGTTCGGGCGCATCGTAGACGGCCAAGTGATAAGTCCAGTAGCGTCTCTAATCGAGCCGTCTTTCTTTCTTCCCTCGCAAAAGGAAATCCATTCTGTGGGGACGCATGGAAGGCACAACGTTGGGGCGCATTGAACAGACAACGAAGGCTCGAGCCTGGGGACACTATGGTGGCAATCAAGGAAACGGTGAAAACAGAGCTTCTAGCATGATGGAGGGAATACCTTCGAGTGATCAGCTGGAAAGAGAGGACCATATCGAACTCAACCTCCCGAAAAAGGGATTGACATAGGGGAGACTTAAAGGCAATTTCCTTCTTTTCAATAGCTGGTTGGGTATCAAGAGGGCGGGAGGAGCCTGAATGAAGGAGTAACGGAAAGAGACCGGTTCCAGAGTGACGATAGGGAAGCGGGGAGGACTGGAAGGATAATTTGAGATTCAGTTGGCATACAAGCGGGTACAAGTGAAGGAAGAAAAGAAGTGCAGGTACGGGTAAAGCTTCCAAAAGGGATGGCTTCAGACGCAGGGTTGGGCTGCTGGTCTAGACGGATGCAGCGGTCAAAAACTTCTGCCGGCCAACGGTTGTGTCGGGGAGGGCCACGAGTATAAATCTGTGTCCTTTATGGAAGTTTGTTTTTTTCTCATTGGACCGGACCGAAAGACTAGAATGCAATCCCTTCCTGTTAGGAAAGTAATCAACAATGCTAGTCTGTTGTAATGTGATGTGATTTCAACTTTAGCTTTCATAAGTTAACCTCCATCAACTCCTATGGTCGCCATCGCAAGGTTCCTTTTCAAACAGTGAAAAGGAGCAGCTGCTCCAATCCAGTTCTATCCATCAGAATTTTAGCTCGTTATCTGTTTATCGAAATTCGCATGCATATGCCATTCAGCCATCATCATACAAGCACCTAAGGTTGTTCCTTATCCAGGAGACCCCCTTAGCAATGTGTCTAGGTCACTGGTCATCAAGACCCCGGGAAGCGTCAGTCGTTTCAATCCTTCCCAGCCAGTCGGGGATAATGCAGAACGCAACTTTGAGAGGATGCCACGGATCGCACATCAAGAAGACTGCCGAGAGATAATTCGAAAGCATTATCAACAAGGGGACCCTTTTTTTTTTTTTTTTTTTTTTTGGTCAAGGGCCACGAGCACAGGCAGCAGCAACCAGCAAGCAGGACAGTTGTCCAGGCGGGCTCTGGCCAAGGGCCACGAGCACAGGACAGCAGCAACCGACCCCCTTGCTCCCATCCCCCTTTTACCCCCACTCCCTTTGGCTGACCCCCGCGCCCCCTGCAACCCTTCCAGCATCCTCCCTCTCCTGTCCTCCTCCTCCTCCGCTGCTCTGTCTACCGTCCTTTGTCCCCCCTCGCCCCACCTCAGAGCTCCCCATGCAATCACCCCCGCGACGTTTGCCCTTCTTCCTCCTCTGCCTCGGCATTTAGCCTGGCCCAGCCACCTCTACGACAAACTCCCCCATCGCCAACTCCTCCATCGCCAACTCAATCGCCAACTCCATCGCCTCCCCTCTCAACCCCACCACACACCTCCCAAGGCAATCATCACGGCCAGCCTCGGGACTCAGCAGACTAATGCCCAGAAAGAAGAAGAACAAACTGGGGACGACTAGAACGACATAAGGGAGTCACATGTGGTCCTGGCAAGAAAGAAAGGACAGCTCCCCCCTCAGACATCAACCATTGACATCAGACAGGCCCGTGCAAGTTTAGCAATGGGGACCTCCATAGTATTTTGTGTTCCCCCTTTGGTACAGGAGCTAAGAAAGGATGTTTGATGTAGCCGTAGGTCACTAGCTCATAGAAAGACCCGGCATGCTGCAAAGCGAAAAACCAGACATCGTGTATTACGTATGGGATGCTGGGCCCGGTTCTCAGGACGTGCTACTCCCAACGAAAGAGATCGGAGCCATCAACCTCAGGGTCCTACGCCGGACATGGGCTCCTATCCGAGTTCAAGGTAGGCAAACCATCACTGATGTTGAGGAGGAGGAGGAAGAGGAGAAAGAGGACAATGAGGAGTAGTAAGTGGAGGAGGAAGAGGAGGAAAAGAAGGAAGAGGAGGAAGAGCAAGAGGAATAGCAATAGAACGAGGAAGAGGAAGAGCAATAGGACGAGGATTCCAAGAGGAAGAGGCAGAGGAAGAGCAATAGGACGAGGAAGAGGAACGGGCAGAGGAAGAGGATGACTACGACAACGGGGAAGGAAGAAGAAGAAGAAGAAGAAGAAGAAGAAGAAGAAGTGGAAGACCGCAAAGAAGAAGACAAAGACATTGAAGAAGAAGAAGAAGAAGAAGCAAAGACGACAAAGAAGAAGAAGAAGAAGAAGAAGAAGAAGAAGAAGAAGAAGAAGAAGAAGGAAGAAGAAGAAGAAGAAGACAACAAAGAAGAAGAAGAAGAAGCTGAAGACAAAGACGAAGAAGACAAAGAAGAAGAAGAAGAAGGCAAAGATAGTTGTGGTGGTCATTAGGAAAGGAACAAAGAAGTTAGGAACAAAAGCGCTCAAAAGATTGCATGCAAATGCGTGGGCGTAGAAAGCAAATGAGCAAAACATGAAAAGGCGCAGAAACAGTTACGAGAAGTGCCAGTGAAAGTAGAGCCCCTAATTTCTCATTCCTACAACAAATTCAAAATAGAAAAGTCCGAGAAGGACTTTAGATGCACTCGTTGAGTGCACACACCAAAGTCCTGACCCCAGCGTGCATATGCAGGAAAGCCCACAGATACCCCACCAAAGACGAAGCCTGCAGAACGAGCCAAAATTTCAAGAGACGAAAAGCAAGAGATATTGTACAGCCCCTTCGAAAAAAAGTGAGACAGTTCTTAAAAAAAAAAAAAAAAAAAAAAAAAAAGTGAGACGAGCGTGGACGGGTTCAGAAATCCGTGATTGTGCGAAAGCTCGTTCGTCACATATACCCCCAGTTGTGGGTAGAACCACAATTTGGAGGGGCCCAGATTATGGGCCTGTTGGACCGGACATACAGAAAAGATAGCAAGGGGAAAAGTAGGGCGCAAAAAAAAAAAAAAAAAAAAAAAAAGTAGGCTGCAAGTTGGGTGGTACCCAGGGCACAAAAAACGGAACGATAGTAGGCATTCCCACGTACAACACAAATTTCCATGTTGAATTAATGTACGACACAAACTAAAAAAAAATAATAATAATAAAAAAAAAAAAATCAGCATGTCAGAATGGTCGAGCACGCCATTTCGGCAATGTCTGGATGTTCCCATAACGTGAGGGAACATTTGGTTTCCCAGTTTCTAGGCACATATCGTCCATTTACTACAAGTACCTCTTTTTTTCACTATAAAGTATTCCATGTCCAGTTCTTACAGTAACCCTCTCTTCGACTCCTACTACCATCATCACCACAGGCATGGCCATGAGCATCGCCATGGAAGCAGAGGGGTAAAGATTTGTGAGGTGTGTTGTTGGGATCTTGCCATGAACAGCCATCAAAGTGCGCAGCCATCCAAGTGTGCTCTCTTACCTGTGTCAATTCTTCCAGCTCTCTAGCACGCGATTCTGGACCCTTCTCATGCTCAATCCGCTCCTTTTCCAGATCGGCTTTCTCTGTGTCTCTCTGTGAGTGCACAGACACGTACTCTCCAATTCCCATGCTACATGCACCTGCAACAAGACCTGCCAGTCCAGATATGATCATAAAGTTGCTCTTTTCCTCCACCGCTCCCACTCCCAACATGAGTGACGAAGTTGTTACTAGTGCGTCATTGGCCCCTAGCACCGCCGCTCGTAGCCACGCCGCCCTGTGGCCGTAATGAGTGTGTCCGCATGAATGCCCGTGACTGGTGGCGACTACTACCACACCTTGGTCCTGCGTACTGCTCTCTCTCTCCGTACTGCTCTCTCTATCCTGGACAACCACTCTGGTCTCAGCTGGTTGATCTGCTCCTCCCGACATCTTTGTAAACCAACCAAAGATGCTCTCTCTCTCTCTCTCTCTCTCTCTCTCTCTCTCTCTCTCTCTCTCTCTCTCTCTCTCTCTCTCT